GCAGACAGAGGCACACACGTTGAGCCGGGCCCCGGAAGTCAGGTTCAGTGAAGAATGCTACAGGAAGCCGAGGTCTCTGCCATTTGGTGAAGATTGGCCACTGAATGACTGCTGTGTGTCACTGTATTTTTGTGACAGTGTGTGTGTGTGTACTCACTTATTTATGCCTGCAGGAACGAGTTCTAGCTCTTGAAGCGTGTGAGTGAGTGTGTGTGAGTGTGTGTGTACTCACCTAGTACTCACCTAGTTGTGCTTGCGGGGATTGAGCTCTGGCTCTTTGGTCCCGCCTCTCAACCGTCAATCAACTGGTGTACAGGTTCCTGAGCCTACTGGGCTCTATCATATCTACACTTGAAACTGTGTATGGAGTCAGCCTCCACCACATTACTTCCTAATGCATTCTATTGTGTGTGTGTGTGTGTGTGTGTGTGTGTGTGTGTAAAGGGGGGGGGGGTGATCGTCTTGCTGAGGCGGAGGGGCTTTGGGAGTGGTGTTTTTCGGGTCTAGCAGAGCTTTTGTTGCAATTAGGTTTTGCGGGTGGGGGTTCGAAGCTGGGAAATGGAATGAAGAGTGTAAAGGAAAGGTCGGAGGGGGATATACTATATACTCCATCCATCTGTGGAATAGGTAGATGGACATAAACCATTAGGAATTCCTTAATGGAAGAGACTATATATCGTGACACTGGAGTTTTGAGAGTGATGGATTAGACAAGAGGCAGTTAAGGGCAAATTGGTTTGAGTTTGGGATTGGAAAGAGGTGATGAATAGATGAATGATTTAGGGGAAGAGTTAAAGGAAGGAAGGAGGGAGGGGGGGGTTATTATATTGTGTAGCTTGTGTAAATGTGTGGAAATGCTTCGATCAATGAACCCAGCGAAGAAGCAGGCTTACACTCGATCCCTCTATATCCTCCCTCCAAGCACTCAACCCGAGCTTCAAGGAGCAGCACCTGCTATAAAACGCTATTGAAGTCCCATCAGAATACCTCCAAACTTATGAGCGAGCAGCACCAAAAAGTCACCACTGACCCCGTAATACATTCCTACACCCCGTAATACACTCCTACACCCCGTAATACACTCCTACACCCCGTAATACACTCCTACACCCCGTAATACATTCCTACACCCCGTAATACATTCCTACACCCCGGAATACATTCCTACACCCCATAATACACTCCTACACCCCATAATACATTCCTACACCCCGTAATACACTCCCACACCCTGTAATACATTCCTACACCCCGAAATACATTCTTACACCCCGTAATACACTCCTACACCCTATAATGCACTCCTACACCCCTCCACCTGAGGGTGGTTCTCCCCACAACTGCCTCATTAACCCTACAGGTCGCTGTTATGACCACATTTTGGTTAATGAGAGTCTTAACATTTATCAGAAGCAATTACTTTTTTTATCACTTCAAGCCAAATAGGATTTTTTCCACTTTTGTCAGAATATATATTTTATTTTTCTCACTTGAATAATAGCCGAAATACTGATTTTTCGGTAAATATTTATTTTTAAGTTAGGGCAAATTCGACGGAGCCATTTTTAACCTGTATCTTCTATGTACACTATCTTCAGTTGATATATATATATATATATATATATATATATATATATATATATATATATATATATATATATATATATATATATATTTATATTTATATATGGAATAGATGATTGCTGACATATGTAGATAATAGACACAATAGATTTACTAAATTAGATATCTATTGACGTAGTACTTCAGCTGGCTTCAATTGTAACTTGGAAAATTGTGGTTAGACATTTTAAACAGTAAAAGAGGAGAGAGAGAGAGAGAGAGACAGACAGAGAGAGACAGAGAGAGAGAGAGAGAGAGAGAGAGAGAGAGAGAGAGAGAGAGAGACAGACAGACAGACAGACAGACAGACAGACAGAGACAGAGAGAGAGAGAGAGAGAGAGAGAGAGAGAGAGAGAGAGAGAGAGCAAGAAGTAGTAGGGAGAGTAAATGAGCTAAACATCCACTTCACTCCACCAGCCTCGATGAACCAGCAGTAATTAGGAACTCGAAAGTATACTCGATTATCAGCGATCGTGCTGGTCGGGGCATGGTGGAGGACATACTTGAGTTATACTTCTCCTCAATCCCGGGGTAGGAAATGGCTCCAAAGGCCTGCAAAGAAAAAATATATTGACAGAAGAAATTCAAGTTCCTACTCTAGTGAGGAACTCCATCTTTTCATTGTTTAGGGCGAGAGAGACTTAGGGTAGTTAAAAAGACAGTCGTTTGCTATGAAGTCTTTAGCCATTCAGTCATTAGGCATCCGGTTGTGAACGTTCCAATCATCAACAATCAGATTAATGGCCAAATTGGAAATTGGGTGAAAGACCAAATGAAAAGCAAGGTGGATGATTAGGTGAGTAACCAGGCAAAGATGAATGACAAGGTGGATGACCGGATGAATTAACAAGTAGATAACCGGATGAATGGTCAAGTGGGTGACCGGATGAATGACCAGATGGATTGCCAAATGAATAACCAGGTGTAAGGCTAGATGAATGACCTGGTGAGTTCCCGGATGAATAACCAAGTGAATGACTACACGAATTTTCAAGTGTTGGCTCAAATAAATAATCACTGGCATAACCAAAAGAATGAACAGTTGAATAACTAAATGAATTGCCAAGTGCATGAATAATCAGGACAAACGCGCCAATTCAGTAATTAGATTGAACAGATAAATCATTCAATGAATAACATGTACAAAAAGACCTTAAAAATGACCCAGGTGAATAGGTAGGTTAATAGGCAGCTGAACTTTCATTTGAATTCCCATTTGAAAAAAACAGGATGAAGTTAAGTGGAATGATACAACTGATTTTGACTTTATTTCAGTCATCTGAAGCTCTGTTTTGAGTTGAAATTGCATATTACCCAGGCATTTGGCGTGCTTGTCAGGCCCTCTGATGACTCTCGTTTATGCAAGATTGACTTTTGAAAAGTGAAGGTGTGTTTCATGTGTGTGTGTGTTTGTATACTCACCTAGTTGTGCTTGTGGGGGTTAAGGCTTTTTTGATCCAGCCTCTCAACTGTGTGTGTGTGTGTTTTCTCACCTAGATATGATCATATCGATGTTGTTACAGGGTCGAACTTCAGCTCCCAAGCCCTCCCTCTCAAACCATAAGTAGTTTGTTGACCAGACCACACACTAGAAGTTGAAGGGAGGACGACGTTTCGGTCCGTCCTGGACCATTCTCAAGTTGATTGTGGCTGATACTTCAGCCACGTTATTGTGACTCATCGCCTGCACATTATTTTATTCCGATGAGTCTTTATTTAATCCCAAACACTGATGTGTTCTCTTACATATCTGTGATTTATTTCCTTGTAGAACCTGTCTACGACCCCTTATTCTGTTAGTCCTCGTCTTAAGCAATATTTAGTTGCCTGTTTGGTAATTTTTCCTTGAAATCTAATACGTGGTTTTTCATGTTTTTTTCTTGTTCCTCCTTTCTTATATATATCCATTAGTCTCCCATTGTTCCCATACATATGTGACGATCCCTGCTTCTTAAAAGCTTTCTCCCGTGTTGGCTGTCCCATTCTCTACAACTTTCTTTAAGTGCCCAATTCAACTGGTTTTATATGCATTTCTTGGGAATTTTCGGTGGTTGGGTGAAGTGGTTTGTAGTGGTGGTAGTTTGTGGTGACGGTTGAGTATTGTGGTGAGCAGTGGTGGTGGTGGTTTTTGGAGGTGGTATGTCTCGTGGTTGCTGTTCTGTGGACATGTGTGATGGTATGTAGTTACGGTGGCGTGTGGTATGTAACTGTGGCTGTTCGGTGGTGTATATTATGTGGAGATTATGTATTGTAGTGCATATGTGTAGTGGTTGAGGTGTTCGATGTGTTGTGATGTTGTGTATGGTGATAGTGGCAGTGATTTGTGGTTGAATAAATTTAAGTACATTGGCGGAGTGTGTGTGTGTGTGTGTGTGTGTGTGTGTGTGTGTGTGTGTGTGTGTGTGTGTGTGTGTGTGTGTTCGTGGTAGCTTTATTTCTCTAAAAACAGGAAAGTAATAAGACAAAAGGCTGAATATTAAAATATATTTCTTTGTGACAATTTGTATGTGTATATCTATATATATATATGTGTATATATATATATATATATATATATATATATATATATATATATATATATATATATATATATATATATATATATATATATATATATAATGTAAACACACACACATATATGAAGAGGTTTAATTAATAAACACCAAACAAAGCATTGTGAACAAACTAAGACAACAGTAACATGGTTAGAATATGATATATGCTGTTTGGCATTCTCTCTCTCTCTCTCTCTCTCTCTCTATATATATATATATATATATATATATATATATATATATATACATATATATATATATATATATATATATATATATATATATATATATATTTAATCCTGTTTGCTTTCTGTTTCTTAAGACTAAAGCCAAATCAATATGTTTCAAGAACTAGATAGTTGAAAGGATTGGTTGTGGTTAGAGAATTGTTAGGCCATTGTTAGTCCTTACGTGTCAATGGATTACCAATAGAAAATGAAGCTTTTTATTGTATGTGGTTAAGCTATTGTTAATTGTTTAATAATGAGACACATTATTGACGTCATTACATAGACAACTGGAAGGAAAAATTCTTTTGTACAGTTTTTATTTCTTGATGAATTTAAGTTTTTTCTGAATTAATGTTTTACTTAAAATTGTTAATCCTATTTTTTTTGAGTGAAAGTTATTTTCTAAGTTATTTATTTTATCTTCCTCAATACTTCATATAAAACAATGAATCAAATATTTTTTTAAATGGGGGACTATTTTTTTGTATCATCCACCACGTATTTGCTAAATATTTTTTTCCCTTCCTTCTCCTCTTCCTCCTTCTTCAACTTCACCTTCATCTTCTCCTTTCCATTCTCCTCCACCTTCTCCTAGATCTTGTCCTCCTCAGCCGCTTCCATCTCCCCTTTCTCATACTGTTTATCTTCCTCCTCCACATCTTGGTCTGTAATATCTGAGCTTTTTAGAAGTCGCAAAAGAATTTTAAGTGCAATGGAAGCGAACTCGAAGCTTACTTTCCCTCTCTTCAGTAGGCATTGTTTACAGTGACAGAGCATGCAAGAGGCATTGTTTACCAGTGCTAGAGCATGCAAGAGGCATTGTTTACCAGTGCTAGAGCATGCAGGAGGCATTGTTTACCAGTGCTAGAGCATGCAAGAGGCATTGTTTACCAGTGCTAGAGCATGCAAGAGGCATTGTTTACCAGTGCTAGAGCATGCAAGAGGCATTGTTTACCAGTGCTAGAGCATGCAAGAGGCATTGTTTACCAGTGCTAGAGCATGCAAGAGGCATTGTTTACCAGTGCTAGAGCATGCAGGAGGCGTTGTTTACCAGTGCCAGAGCATGCAAGAGGCATTGTTTACCAGTGCCAGAGCATGCAAGAGGCATTGTTTACCAGTGCTAGAGCATGCAAGAGGCATTGTTTACCAGTGCTAGAGCATGCAGGAGGCATTGTTTACCAGTGCCAGAGCATGCAAGAGGCATTGTTTACCAGTGCTAGAGCATGCAAGAGGCATTGTTTACCAGTGCTAGAGCATGCAGGAGGCATTGTTTACCAGTGCTAGAGCATGCAAGAGGCATTGTTTACGAGTGCCAGAGCATGCAGGAGGCATTGTTTACCAGTGCTTGAGCATGCAAGAGGCATTGTTTACCAGTGCTAGAGCATGCAGTAGGCATTGCTTACGAGTGCCAGAGCATCCAGGAGGCATTGTTTACCAGTGCCAGAGCATGCAAGAGGCATTGTTTACCAGTGCTAGAGCATGCAAGAGGCATTGTTTACGAGTGCCACATATGAAGGGCCTCCACGTGTTTGCCTGTGACCAATATTCATTTACTCAAGCTCTTGTGAAACCTGTACACCTCTGCTTAATCATGGCGGCTTTGTTTACACATATTAAATAGGTTATGAGCACCGAAGTGCTGCGAAGTTGTTTATAACAGTAATAACCTTGGGTTGTAAGTTTTCATTTCTTGTAAACTGTTTAATAAATGTAAAGAAAGTCACCATGATTAATCAAAGAAGTTCAGGTGGAGTAATTGCGAAAATTCCCGGAAATTAAACCTTTCTCTAGTTGGAAAAGTAATGAAAAATTATTAATACAAACATGCTTGAAAGGGAACTATGCATATAATTTTGTCAATTCTTAAAAAACTAGATGCCATTCCTAGATGGAGTAGGATTGAACAAATTGTTGTTGTTTTTTTTTTGCGCTCCTTAATGTCTACCTGTTGTTATTATCGGGAATCAATCTCCCCGCGGCCCAGTCTCTAACCAAGTTTCCTAGCTAGGCTATTCGCAGCTTGACGTATGAATCCCAGCCCGGTTGACCAAGTATCTCTTAGGATACCTGGTCATATATATGATATGATATATATATTCATTTTCCGAGATGCACCACGAGTGTTGCCTGGTAATGGATAGTCACAGAGCTCGCGTGGAAGCGTATGAGCTCGAAGCCGCACATCACATTAAGGTAATCCATTGGTGGAGTGGTATAAAATATTGCGTGTAACCAGTGCGGTGATCCCTGGTAGCGCAGGTTCGAATCCTGGTTGGATAGTATGTATAGTGACTAACCGCTTGGGGGACCATTCAAGCTTTGTCTCATACTTATTACGGTAACCAGTTTATCTTCTGTTAACTTTTAACTGGACCAGTTAAAGATTGTAGCTTGAAGATTATTGATAAGTTAATCATAGATTTGTGAACATCACCTAGAGAAAAATTAACTTCTGAGCTGCTATCATTTCAATGATAGCAGCTCAGAAGATATATTACACCATGGGGCATATAAAATAGTATAACAGGTGTCAGTTAGTGAGAAGATATAGCGATATAACATGCATAATATAAGCATTAGCGAAGAAGCCAAGAAAAACCATCACTAGATGCAAGAAATATTATGAGGTCATAAGATTACACATTATAAAAAGATGAAATACTTGATCTGGCTTTAACCTTACAAAAAAAATATAATTTATTAATTCATTCAGAAACAGCAAAAATAATGTGCCTTTTAGATGCTGAAAAATCCTTGGCGATTATTGTAATACACGAATTTACGTAAATGGTTATTTTAGGTATATATATATATATATATATATATATATATATATATATATATATATATATATATATATATATATATTGGTATATATATATATAATATATATATTGGTATATTTTGGTAGCAGTCTTTCCTGTAGACATATATTATTAAATATGACTGAAAAAGTAAGATTAATAATTCTAACACGAATTTTCTCAATGTTTCTTACATTTTTCTTCACTACTGATGGTAGCTGAAAAATCAATTCTCCAAAATTCATTTTTATTTCTAGTGAATAAAAATGAATTTTGGAGAATTGATTTTTCAGTTACCATCAATAGTGAAGAATAATGTAAGAAACATTGAGAAAATTCGTGTTAGAATTATTAATCTTACTTTTTCGGTCATATTTAATAATATATATATATATATTGATGTATACGATGTATATAAGATATAAAACGACTTAGATAATCAGATCTTTGCTAACAGTTTGCAGTAGAAACAACAACATTGGTAAACTGATAATGGAATTGCAATATGCATGTCAACCTTCTAGTCTGCAATGATACATGTGAAAGATGCAGAAATACGGATGATATAATCTGAAAATCAATTGAACGAAGCTGGAAAGACGAACCTCAAAAAGAGACTGAGACAAATGGTAAAGTATACGTGGTGATGCTGGGTGTATATCCAGTCCAGAAACACTATAGTTCAAGAAGATATCAGGAGATGTTGGTGTATGCGTTAGGATAGCAGGACATGTTGGTGTATGCGTCAGAATAACAGGAGATGTTAGTGTATGCGTCAGTATATTAGGAGATATTTGTGTATGCGTTTGGATAGCAGGACATGTTGGTGTATGCGTTAGGATATCAGGACATGTTGGTGTATGCGTTAGGATATCAGGACATGTTGGTGTATGCGTTAGGATAGCAGGACATGTTGGTGTATGCGTTTGGATAGCAGGACATGTTGGTGTATGCGTTTGTATATCAGGACATGTTGGTGTATGCGTTAGGATATCAGGACATGTTGGTACATGCGTTAGGATAGCCTTGTGACCGGAACGGCATGGTGGATATAAATATAATGATATCGAAAATAATATGAAGAGCAGTAAAATATATTTAATTGTAACTAACGAATAATTATAATAATTAAAATAATAATAAGTAAACTAGAATAAGATGAGAAAGTTTAGTAATAATAAATGATATAATAATTATAATGATATTATAATATAATAATTATAATATTATAAAAAAAATCTGTAAATAGTTGTAAAAAACACCATCCATTGAAATAATAAACATGCTTTATATTTTAACACATTTCTCACAGGAAATTAGGTTTAACACTATGTTGCAATCACCTTTAACAGACTAAACATATGAAAACATTTCATTTGTTTACCAAGTCATAGACAGCTTTGATTAATGAGGCTTCTGAAACACTTCATTAACTCTCCCAGAGTATTTTATCATACTTGCATTTTACACATTAAAAATAACCACTTAGCAAAAGTATTATATATATATATATATATATATATATATATATATATATATATATATATATATATATATATATATATGTTTCAGTTTAATATTAAAGCAAAACAAAATATCAAAGAGAAAGGGAATGGTAGGACAAAATAACTTGGTATCTGCAATAGAGGGGACACAAAAATTCCCTCTAATGCGTTGTGTGTGCTTTTCTACGAGGTTATGGGTCCCCTTCTTCAATCCAGAGGTGGTACCCCTTTTATAATATATGCATGCATACATATATATATATATATATATATATATATATATATATATATATATATATATATATATATATATATATTAGTTCTTTTCCTCTAATGAATTTGTAAACATGTTATTATAACTTCTCCAGTAAGTTCAGTTGACAAATATGTCAGATAATCCACTGTATCTGCTTAAGGGTCCAGTTCATAAATGGATTCTCAAACACGGAACAACAGAATCCTATGAGGTTTAAGTGCTACTTTTATCCATCTCTTATCTACAATCAATCTACGCTTTACATATCCTTATCGCATAAATAGACGCAGCTTCACAAGTAAACTATTTAAGTGACAGTCTTCAAGCATCCAAAATAAATGTATGTGTGCTCTCTCCTTAATACTTAAACGCTTAATGATAATTCTATGGCTATAACACACCCCTAAATGCACCACAAAGCGCCGTGCTATCCCTGCATACATTCCACGCACCTTCAGTTACAAATGTTACGGAATAGGGTCCTCCTTGGGCAATGTGAGCCTCATTGAAGGGTGACCTGAGTTGACCTCTGATCCTCAACACCTGGCCTACACCCCCTGAGGGCCAGGTAAGGCGGCCAGAGGTCAATAATCATAAAATACAGTATTAATGAGCTGAAACTGTAACGCAAATTCTGGGTGAATCACTGGAATGAGAACCCCCGCAGGCTCGAACGACATTGTCTCAATGCCTTACAACCTATGGGTGTTCTAGCTACTCGAGTCGGTTTCTACTTGATGAACACAAATGTTCTCGCACCTAAACGAGCTCTTTGGCAATTCGTTAAACTATGAGGGGTATAATAGTGTTTGTTTTCCGGCTACGGCACAAACAATTCGGCTATTATGTTCTTGGGGATGGATGGGATATTTCAGGAGATTTAATATTTACACAAAATCGCACGTTTGTGTTATATACATCAAATTGTATTATAGATACATCATTGTATTATTAAATCTAGCTTGCACGGAACGTATTTAATACATTACCACGGTATATATATATATATATATATATATATATATATATATATATATATATATATATATATATATATAATGAATATACCAATATAAATAACGCCTGTAGTCAATACATAATAAACACTAATTATATAAATAGATACAAATATATAATACTACTAATAAAAATCTAATGAAATCACTAGGATTTTTTTAGATGAGCGTGTAAAATAATTTTAATTATCAAAATATAACAAATATTAATACAGCTAATGCATTACTAAAGCCTGCCTTCATAAATCATCAATTTATTAATAGTTTCTGGTCAAATAGGCCTTCAATGTTTAAATAATACATTGGTTACTTAGGCAATTAATGTACCCAGTGTGTGAGGATATGTAATTCATTATAAAACACAAAACCCAGCTCTTGGTGTGTTCTCATATCCCAGCTCTCAGTCTGTTCTCATATCCCAGCTCTCAGTCTGTTCTCATATCCCAGCTCTCAGTGTGTTCTCATATCCCAGCTCTCAGTCTGTTCTCATATCCCAGCTCTCAGTGTGTTCTCATATCCCAGCTCTCAGTGTGTTCTCATATCCCAGCTCTCAGTGTGTTCTCATATCCCAGCTCTCAGTCTGTTGTCATATCCCAGCTCTCAGTGTGTTCTCATATCCCAGCTCTCAGTGTGTTCTCATATCCCAGCTCTCAGTGTGTTCTCATATCCCAGCTCTCAGTGTGTTCTCATATCCCAGCTCTCAGTCTGTTGTCATATCCCAGCTCTTAGACTGTTCACATATCCCAGTTCTCAGTGTTTTCTCATATCCCAGCTCTCAGTCTGTTGTCATATCCCAGCTCCTGGTGTGTTCACATATCCCAGCTCTTAGACTGTTCTCATATCCCAGCTCCTGGTGTTTTCTCATATCCCAGCTCTCAATCTGTTCTCATATCCCAGCTCCTGGTGTGTTCACATATCCCAGCTCTCAGTCTTTTCTCATATCCCAGCTCTCAGTCCTCATATTCCCTCCTAGTGCTACATAGTCAAACTGACCAAACTCTTTATCCTGATGTAATTCATTATATCAGGATAATTCACTATTGATGTGTAATTCACTTCCCCATTACAATATCATCTTACCAATACCCTTTACAATATCATTATTACCAATTACAATAATAATATACACAGCATTTGGCTTCGCAAGGATGGGGTCAGCGGTTCGAGCCTCCCAGAGCTCAGGTGAGTGAAATAATAATAATAAGAGCGTATAGAGGTCACAAGCCATAAAGTCTAACTTATCAGATGTTAAGAGCCAATTAGGAAATACTTTTTCATTAACAGCTGGGTTGGTATCTGGTTAATTGTACCATTACTACTAATAAAGTACCACTTTATTAGACTGTATTTATTTGGACTGTATTTACTATTTGTGTCTACTATTTGAATCTGAAAATCGAGCTATTAGCTCTTGGACCCCGCCTTTTTAATCAACTGGTTTTTCTCTATTATGTCTACTATATTTCTCTTACTCATGCATACACACACACAGAGACACATCCCCCAGGAAGCAGCCCGTAGCAGCTGTCTAACTCCCAGGAACCTGTTTACTGCTAGGTATATAGGGGTACCAGGGTGAAAAAAACTATGCCTGTTTGTTTCTGCATCTGCCGGGGATCGAACCCGGGCCCTTAGGACTATTACCGCAGAGAGCTTTCCACTCAGCCGCGAGGCGGTGTGTGTGTGAGTGTGTGTGTGTGTGTGTGTGTGTGTGTATGTGTATGTGTGTGTGAGTGTGTGTGTGTGTGTGAGTGTGTGTGTGTGTGTGTGTTTCCGTCCGTGCTTCAATTAAAATACAAACACACACATATATTAAGATACATATTAATATCAGTGACACGTCTCACTGTAACATGAAAATCAGACTTAAAATATAATTTTCCTTAACAGGAACACCCTATTACTTAACATCTAATACACAATAATATACACAATAAACATTTTTTTTCCTTAATGTATATAAACCCTAATTCTAGACCTTACCTTAATCTTAAGATATTCAATCAGAAGATATAATGGGGCAGCATTTGGAAATATTATTCATCTGGTACATACTTAAGAAATACGTATTCTACAATACTAAGTGTGTATTTTTGTTGAGAAAGCAGACGACGTTTCTATCTATTCCTGCAGCCTCCTGGCGGTCGTATCTTGTACGTTGGGGCTTCTCAGCCAATCAGAAATGTTCCTTTTCTTGTCTGCTTCCTATTGGTCGACGTTGTGTTTATATCCGGGTCTCTAATGGGATCTAGTTTGTGCTCCTTTGACGTCGCTCTGTCACCCCTTCGTATGTTAGAGGAAATGAAGGGAATATTTGCATAGAACAGAGTAAAGATGGTATAAGATAATGGAGAGAACGAAAAAGAAGGAATGGAGATGCAAAAGTGGAGAGACGGTGAGGTGAGAGGGGACGAAGATGCGAGGGATAGGGTAGAGGAGAGGAGGAAGATGCTAGGGTATTGTGAAGGAGATGGGTGAGGGGTGAGGTGGAGGGTCATACGGTGGTGGTGGCCAGGCCGGGGTCATCGCTGTGTTCCACTGTGACCTCCCTTAGAGTGGTCAAGGGCTCCTCCGCGTCCCCCACCTCGCTGCTTGTAGAACCCACAGGAGGAGGAACATCATGGTTAGAATTGGTTATGTAGTGAGCTCTGTATCTCCATCTATACTTCTCTCATTCTCTCTATCTCTCTCTCTCTCTCTCTCTCTCTCTCTCTCTCTCTCTGTCTGTCTCTCTCTCTCTCTCTCTCTCTCTCTCTCTCTCTCTCTCTCTCTCTGTCTGCCTCTCTCTCTGTCTCTGTCTCTGTCTCTCTCTCTCTCTCTCTATGTTTGTCTCTCTCTCTCTCTCTCAGTCTCTGTCTCTCTGTCTCTGTCTCTCTGTCTATGTCTCTCTCTCTCTCTCTGTCTGTCTCTCTCTCTCTCTCTCTCTCTCTCTCTCTCTCTCTCTCTCTCTCTCTCTCTCTCTCTCTGTCTCTCTGTGTCTCTGTCTGTCTCTCTCTCTCTCTCTCTCTCTCTCTCTCTCTCTCTCTCTCTCTCTCTCTCTCTCTCTCTCTCTCTCTCTCTCTGTCTATCTCTGTCTCTCTCTCTCTCTCTCTCTCTCTCTCTCTCTCTCTCTCTCTCTCTCTCTCTCTCTCTCTCTCTCTCTCTCTCTCTGTCTCTCTCTCTCTCTGTCTATCTCTCTCTCTCTCTCTCTCTCTCTCTCTCCTCTCTCTCTCTCTCTCTCTCTCTCTCTCTCTCTCTCTCTCTCTCTCTCTCCCCTCTTCGCAATTTTCTCACATCATTCACACTCTTAAAGGTAACCTGACAGTCATGGGAAGACTGACTCTTCAGTCTGCAATATTGCTCATTGCACCATCGCTCTTGTCAGGTTATTGGACTCGTATTTTAAAAACAGAGTTAAAGAAAGAGACCCCCTTCCAGAAACAGCTTATATATATATATATATGTTGTGCAGTAGCCAGAGCCAAATTACTTGGCTTGGTAAGCAAGGCCTGATTTGCTTAACAGGCTGAGCGATTTGTGATGTTTTCAAATATTTCCATCCAATTTTTTTTTTTAATAGTGTTAATCTCTTACATTAAGACCGCGAATTACGTGCATAGTTCCGTTATGTTATTGTATTAGGGTACAGTATGACGGTACAGTATAACGGTACAGTATGGCACCGTACCTTGCAACAGTACCGTTGATGCAGCTCCTTTTGGACCGTTTGGGCAACAGTTGTTGAGTATAGAGGTTGCCGAAACACTTTCTCACTGTGTTTCTGACCTGTGGAAGACAGAGGTTAAATTCGTAAGAACACAATTGGGGAGATTGGGACTCATTTTAGTGTTACTGTATTATGTGTCACTAATGTGTGTTGTGTATGTTGTTATATGTATCAATGTTTTGCTTTAAAATCTATTTTGTTGTTGTAATAATGAGAGGTTAGAAAGGTTTTAATAATGTGTTCTAATTCCTAATTCCTGGATATGTATTGTGTGAACATGTGTAATACACATAGACCAATGTATGACCAGCAGTGAGAGAAGTACATGAAATGCAGGGCTGAACAGGACGAGTGGAGTAGTCTTGAAATTGTTCTAGATTTGACTGTGGACATGAATCCCAAATTTCTAATGAGTACTCCAATATTGATCTCATTTACTAAAGTGTTAAACATCTTTTAGGATCTTAGTCATGTGCTTCCCATTGTAGAAAAGTTTATTGTGTATCTAGATACATCGCTTAACTCCCCATGGCTTGAGTGAGTTAGATTTTCAGTAATTTTGTGTCTAAATATGGACATACATGAGTGTTTTCTTGTCTAGTCTAATAGGAGATATATTTTTGTTGGATTCATCTTGTTTGATGTGTTATTAAGAAAGACAATTGTAAGGAAAATAAATCTGAGTTATGTTGTTTGCGGTATATTATTAATCTCTCTCTCTCTCTCTCTCTCTCTCTCTCTCTCTCTCTCTCTCTCTCTCTCTCTCTCTCTCTCTCTCTCTCTCTCAGACCCTTCACCTCGTTGAGCAGTCCAGCGTGTTAGGAAGTAAAGCAGTTTAGAGTAGAGAGAGACGAAGAACCCTTGGAAGGCGGTGAGAAAGGTAGTGACGAAGCTCCAGGCTGCGAACTCGACAATGTTGCCCTCTAGAGGTGAATGGACCATCTGGAGGCTGTTAGTGATACCCAGTAGAGGCAGGAGCACGATCGCTGCCCGCACTGCCTTTCTGTGGACCCCAAGAGGTTGGGGGAGAGGTAGAGATGTTAAGTGAGACTGTGAGTTGAAGGTAGTGAGGTGTGGTGGTGATGGAGGGTGAGGGATGGTGGTAGTGGTGATTGGTGATGGTAAGAGGGTGTATTGATGGTGAAGGGTGATGGTGATGGGTTTGTGTTGGTGGGGAAATTGAGTAATGATAATGAGTCTTGGTTATAGTGAGGGATTTTGGTGGTTGTGAGGGGTGGTGGTGATAGTGGCGGCTTATGGTGATAGTGAGGAGCAATTGTGATAGTGAGGGGGATAATGATGTTGGGGGATTATACGAGAAGTGATTGTCAAGGATAATGAACAAATTTAATGGATATTTGTTATTGTGATTAGCGAGGAAGAATGTTGGTAGCCGTGATGGTGATAGTTACTGATGATGGTGAGTGGTGAGAGTGAGAGGCGGTATAGTGATGAACACGTAAAGACCAATAAAGTGTGAAGGTGACTGGATATAATGAGCTGCGATATAGTAACAGATAACTGGATACAAGGATAGTGTAGAGGTATTTTGATGGTGAGGATGATGACGATTTGGACAAGTGATTGGAACTGAACGTTGAAGGCTAACAGCACAGTTAACTATAATATTAAATAATGCTAAATCATTAATACCTGCAGTCATCCCATCAACTGACCCCCCCCTGACTTGACCTTGCAACACTGCAGGGGTCATTTATTCCATTAACTAACCCATGTCAAGACTTTGCAACACAGTACAGGGCGACACAGCCATCTCCTGAAACTTGCAACAGTCCTCGACCACTGAACGTGAAAACTTTAGTCATAAACTCTCCTCATCACGTCACAAAACCCATCTCGAAAATATTATTAACATATGATTCAGAATTGACGTGTTTGTGTTTGCAAAATTATATAGTGTACACTACACTAGTGGTGTGTGTGTGTGTGTGTGAGTGTGTGTGTGTGTGTGTGTGAGTGTGTGTGTGTGTGTGTCACTTAGCCTGCTGGACCTCGGATGACTTTGAACATTGATTTATATCTACTTCGTTAATCACATCCACTTTAGTATCGTGTACGTCGTTATCATGTGTGTGTGTGTGTGTGTCTCACTTAGCCTGCTGGGCCTCGGATGACATGCTGGCCTGAAGCTTGGTGATCAGGACACGGAGGATATTGAGCAGGAACAGGAAGTTGGTCTGAGGTGAAAAGAAAAAATTAATCGTTAAAATGTGCAGTTGCTATTCATTATTTTGACAATTGTAATTATTTTAATATCAAAATTGGTTGTACTGTCATTAGTATTATTAGTAGTAGCAGCCACAGTAATTTAATTATTATTATTATATAAAAAGAATAGTTTTACCTTTTTATGATCTAAATATGTCTGAATTGTAGTTGAGATAAGGAGAGTCCTTGTCTTAGTGTGAACAGTGTGTTTGCATATACATAAATACTTTTAAGATACACAAAGTGCCCAACAGAGACACATTTGCAGTTGGGTGAGCATGTAATATTAGCTACAAATGCATCACTTAATGCAGGTGTGTCATTTGAATATGCATGTTGCAGTGGGTGGATGCATATATTAGCTGAAAGTATGTTATGTTACATTCTCTCTAAACCCGTTAACCTCTCTCTCTCTCTGTCTCTCTCTCTCTCTCTCTCTCTCTCTCTCTCTCTCTCTCTCTCTCTCTCTCTCTCTCTCTCTCTCTCTCTCTCTCTCTCTGTCTCTCTCTCTCTCTGTCTCTCTCTCTCTCTCTCTCTCTCTCTCTGTCTCTCTCTCTCTCTGTCTCTCTCTCTCTCTCTCTCTCTCTCTCTCTCTCTCTCTCTCTCTCTCTCTCTCTCTCTCTCTCTCTCTCTGTCTCTCTCTCTCTCTCTCTCTCTCTCTCTCTCTCTCTCTCTCTCTCTCTCTCTGTCTCTCTCTCTCTCTCTCTCTCTCTCTCTCTCTCTCTCTCTCTCTCTGTCTCTCTCTCAATGGCTCTTGGCGTAGATTGTTGAGATACTCCACGGATTGCGGTCCCATTCAGCTTGATAATACTTTTTATGGTCTTACTTCTACTGCCTGCTATAGTCTTTACGACTTTCTCCACCAAAACAGGGATGCCTGTTATCCCTGCTATCCCGGCCGTTATCCCCCTCTCACCAACCTCCTTACTCACACATTATATCAACGCTCGGGAACTTAGCAGTTCCGTGTTCCGTGCTGGTGCTCAGGATATCCGGGTTGTGGAGTGGTTTTGGTAAGAGTAAATGTTTAAGTATCGGGCTCATTCTTGTTCCTTATTTATTATGAATAACTTACATATATATATATATATATATATATATATATATATATATATATATATATATATATATATATATATATAATATGTATGTGTGTGTGTGTATTTTTAATTCAGTAAATTATAATTATCAGATAAACAAAGGCAAAACATTATAACTTTCCATTTAAATTCATGAAAAAATTAATCAAGCCCATCTAATAAAGGGTGTATGTGTGGGGACAAATTATTGGCGTGCACAATTTTACCATATTTCTGGCTGCTTTCATATTGATATATATACAGTATTTAATCATTTTGCGAAGAGTATAGTTCATTTGTTATGGCAAAATGCTTGTCCCACTTAAACAATGAATTGACTGGCACCGAATATCGCTACTGGAACAACACAGCTTACAGTGGCATACTTGGTATGATGCATGGCTACTAGATTTCAATCCCCAAAAATGCAAGGTTATAAATTGTAGCAGTTAAAAATGTCTGGAGGAACAAAAAGAAGGAGAGAATCCGCTATAGTGAGAGTTTTCTTGAGATAACTGCTGCTTGAATAATTGTATGGACCAATAGGAATTGCCTCGTATGGACCAGTACGGCTGCCTCTAATGGAGCAATAAAGCTGCCTCTTATGGACCAGTTCAGCTGCCTCGTATTGGTCCATTAGAGTACAACTGCCTCCAGTGGACCAATAGAGCTGCCTCGTATGGACCAGTTCAGCTGCCTCGTATTGGTCCATTAGAGTACAACTGCCTCCAGTGGACCAATAGAGCTGCCTCGTATGGACCAGTTCAGCTGCCTCGTATTGGTCCATTAGAGTACAACTGCCTCCAGTGGACCAATAGAGCTGCCTCGTATGGACCAGTTCAGCTGCCTCGTACTGGTCCATTAGAGTACAACTGCCTCCAGTGGACCAATAGAGCTGCCTCGTATGGACCAATAGCCATTCTATAGTTTCATTTATTCATCTGCTTTTAAATGTCTGTCAGAGCCTTTCTCTGACAAACTTGACAGTCAGGTTTTTATTGCCAGTCCATGATGCTCATCTCTTGGAAGATTTCCTAAGTTTTGAAGTGTTCATTAGCCGACGACCTCACTGATCCCCAATTTCCTGTAAGTTCACCTAGTGATCTGAAAGTTTGAGGTCCGAAAACTCTGAGCTTTTCCCCTCTTCAGGCTTTCTTGTGGCTTCCACCTATAGGCTTACATCTCTGAACGAGTAGCAAGATTAAATTATTACTCGCTGAAAACACCAATTTTTAGAAGGAAAAAATTATTTACAATAATTACATGTTTCACTAAATTAATTATTTGTCTACTTTAAAATATAATTATCAAAAAGAGCAGAACAAGAGAAGAGCCTGAGAGGATATCTTACGAGATATCCTGTGACAGGATATCATGTTATAAATAATATATCCTTTCACGCGGTATATCATTACACCCACACACGAGTATACCTACAGGCATACCAATATGCATAAATATATAATATATCTATATTATATGAATATATATAATATAACAAGGTATATTGACCACTGTACACCAGTTACGCGATATCAGGTCTACAATATAACCCCCAATCATGGACCTGTCCTCCCCCCCTCTCCCTCTCTATAAGACATTCTGGATCTTATAAAACACACAAGGAAACTTGAAAAGGTTCAGAGGTATACAACGAGGTTCCTTCCAAACCTGCGAGTTAATAGGAAGAAATATTGAAGGAACTAGACCTAGCGACGCAAGAAGAGAGGAGTGGACATGATAGAGACGTACAAAATACTCAGTGGAATTGACATTGTGGAAAAAGATGTTCATGATAAATACCAATAGAACCACAGAGATGTTAGATCGTTAGATCTAACGAGATGTTAAATGTTAGACGTAATGATCAGGCTGTAGGAGTTAACTAGATTCATAATTTTATGAGCAGACATGAGAGGCAAATAGATCAGAAATCATTGCATTTGACAACTGGCTGCAAGAAAGATTGGGGTCTAAGAGCTATAGGTCGACCCTGCAGACACAAACGAGTGAGTTCAGACCCAGGAGCAACAATCGATGATTCTATATTTCCCTTTGGACTTATCAATGAAAAACAATTTGGACATTTACCGCAATCCACATCGAGGGAAATCAAGGATCTCTATATCCAGAATATTTTCTCTGTTGATAAGAGAAGAACACACTCTCACCAAGCATTGTCCATATTCGGCTTGATATGCAATTTCAATCAATGCCACTTGCAAAGAAATAAGGCTTTACGAGGCTTATTTCGTGTGAACTCCTGCGTTCTAGAGATAATAACACTGGACATTTGTTATGTAAATACATGTACTTGTGAATGTTTATATTTTGATGAGAATGGGAGCAAAAGAATAGGAACAACAGAGAGTAGGAAGAGACGAAGGTTAAATGTGTGAGTGTATGTGTGTGTGTATATATGAGTGTGAGTGTATGTGTGTGTGTATATATGAGTGTGAGTGTATGTGTGTGTGTATATATGAGTGTGAGTGTATGTGTGTGTGTATATATGAGTGTGAGTGTATGTGTGTGTGTATATATGAGTGTGTGTGTGTGTGTTACTACGGCTCGTATAGCAACACTAGGTGTAATAAATATGGGTGTGTGTGTGAGGGTGTTGTCACTTATAGGAAGAAGAAGAAGAACGTGTACGTGAAGGTGTTTAAAGTTTATTATTTGTGTTACTTGTTTTAAAACAAACTTTTAATAGTTAAAAAGAAAACACTGTTTTGTCTCTTCTTTCCTCCCTCAGTATAAAGGTGTTCCACACTCGTTATGACTATGGTAATGACTCTGTCATTGCTGAGCTTCCTAGCTGAGTAGTTTATTTCATCTGAATGGGTCATTAATGAACGAAATGGTGGTCGTTTTTGTGATATATTTGTGTGTGTCAGCTTTGTTGAATAATATTTTCATTTTTTTTCCGGGAGGATGGAAGGGAAACAATTTATAATAGTTTTATGTGAATAATTTATATTTCTTGATTGTGATCCATCTATCATTTTGATTGTGTATTTGCCTGTCTGCTTCTTTGACTGATTGTTGGCTAGTTATGTCTGTTCATATGAAGGCCAAATAGTGTGTCTGCAGTGGCTCATTCAGCCCAGTTTCCTAACAGTTTCCTAAATGAAAAGAATTTTTTGGGGGGGAGTTGGCATGAGGGGGGGGGTAGATGTGAGCAGGCTCTAAGGCTCTATAAGTATATATATATATATATATATATATATATATATATATATATATATATATATATATATATAATATATATATATATATATATATATATATATATATATATATATATATATATATATATATATATATAATATGACAGTTTCCTTGACTTGAGTGATGGCGCCACAAGGGAAGTGAAGTCGGAAAGACTTTAATAAGATTTGTTGAATAATTATTATGTCCACACTTTCTCACTCTGCAGTCTTGTGGCAGTAGGAGAGGTGGAGGGAGATGTAAAACGAGACAGAGAGAGAAAAAAGAGAGAGAGAAAAAAGAGATGGAGAGAGAGAACCCAAAAGAGAGGGGAAAGAACCCAAGGAAAAAAAAAAGAAAGAGAGAATGAAAGAAGATAGAAATGAAAGGAACACAACAGAGCGTGTTAGGTAATGTGTAGCGAGGGAGCACATTACATGGATCAAAGGGAGTATTCAACCTGTTTAACTCAAGTTGCTTTTGTGCATTTTATATATATATATATATATATATATATATATATATATCCAAGGTCCATGTTCCTTTTCCATGCTTACCTGGTGGGTAAGCAAGCTTTTGTACTGGCGTATCAAAACATATTTAGTGTATTAGTAAGGCTGTAACTATAACAAGATATAGACTTACCACTATGACGGTGAGGCGAGGGCCTTCCAGGATCCAGAAGTAAGGGCTCAGGTTATAGCCCCACCAGCACCTCCAGGGAGAGAGTGAGAGAGAGATTTTATAAGGCATAAAAGGTTTTCACCAATGGAAAGCTTTCAAACGCTTTCAAACCTGTGCGCCAAATGGAAGGTGAATCAAACTATTTGGTACCCACTGGTAAGCGTAACACGTTTTCACCCATGAGTAAATTCACCATATTGCCACTCACTGGTTAATAAACGTTTTATGCACCTGTGAGACACACAAAAAAACATTTTTACCCATGGATAAGTGCAATATATTCATCCCATACTGAGAGGTCCCATGGGTAGTACCCTCGGCTGAAAGCAAAGAAAAACATTTCTAGGACACGTGAGTAAATGAATAATATGCAAATATCAACACGTAATATTCATGACTGGGTAATAGATGATGATGAATTTGTGAGTGGGTTGAGCTGTTGAATGAAATATTGGAGTAATTTTTGTTTAATAGTAGAACAGCTGTTTATATCTCCTCATTGTTCGTTTGTTATTTTTTATGAATGAATCAATCAGCTTTAATGTTTCTGAATGGAATATTCAGCTGTGATTTTCATGAATGGATGATTCAGCTGTGATTTTCATGAATGGATGATTCAGCTGTGATTTTCATGAATGGATGATTCAGCTGTGATTTTCATGAATGGATGATTCAGCTGTGATTTTCACAAATGGATGATTCAGCTGTGATTTTCATGAATGGATGATTCAGCTGTGATTTTCATGAATGGATGATTCAGCTGTGATTTTCATGAATGGATGATTCAGCTGTGATTTTCATGAATGGATGATTCAGCTGTGATTTTCATGAATGAACAATTCAGCTGTGATTTTCATGAATGGATGATTCAGCTGGGATTTTCATGAATGAACAATTCAACTGTGATTTTCATGAATGGATGATTCAGCTGTGATTTTCATGAATGGATGATTCACCTGTGATTTTCATGAATGAACAATTCAGCTGTGATTTTCATGAATGGAAGAATCAGCTGTGATTTTCATGAATGGAAGGATCAGCTGTGATTTTCATGAATGGAAGAATCAGCTGTGTATTATGAATGCATCAGCTGTGAGTCAGTGAATGGGATGACATGTCGTGTTTACTCACTCGGTGCCTGTGTGTTGAACAGCTGTGACGACGGCCCATACTGTTGTCATCAGCACCGGCACCCCCCACCCCAGCAGGTTGTATACTCTGTAGGAAGTATACACCATACAGTATACCATTAGTACACTAATACTTATAACACCCTAATGTATTATACATATTATACATATGCTTAACTGTAGAGATACTGATAATAAAAAATACATACAGAGGCACAGCTATACACATGCACCCACACACAATCATACGAATACACACACATATTCAAACGCACATGAACGTTGCAATGAAACTGTTTACATTTATCCTAAGCAAAAAAAACTAGAATTAGCATAGTGGCAAGAATTGCTAGACAATGTAAATAGATGGAGATTGAGAGAAACATACCCATAGGAGAGAAGGACACAGCCATATAACAGATAGACAGGTATAAAGTCAGATATTCATATAGAGACAAGAACATAGACGAATGCAGAAACACTAGCAAACATTTTCATATATAGCTATAAATATATAAACAGACAATAACAGTGAACGATAATCATCTAAGAATGTTCTATAATTTATTCTCATTGAATCTCTCTCTCTCTCTCTCTCTCTCTCTCTCTCTCTCTCTCTCTCTCTCTCTCTCTCACCTGTGGTTAGGTTGGTCTGTGAACACCGCTACAGTTAACATGCTGTTCAGGTAGTAGCCCTCAATGAACATCCAGAGGAACATGGCGGTGCGAGCGTACTCCATGAGAACGTAGAACACCTCACACAACACCGGCTGTTCAGGGGAAGAACATTTACACATGTAATAGAACACCGCTCACAGTAGTAGCTGGTATGAGTCACTCATCCAGCTAGGTAGCTACGCAAATAACCTAGTTAATTAGGATAGGTTAGAAACTAGTCTTTTAGCTTTAATTTAGTAAATCAATTAGTGGCTTTTCATCTAACCAACATCAGTTCTCATGAGGTAATGAGCCAGAAGAGGGAGGTGGTAACACAGTGAGTTGATTAGTTTCTCAGATCATTCGACCACTGTATTGGTTGTGTAAGATTGGGATTGGGGGAAGGGATTCGTGAGACGGTGAAGTTTCTGTTCATGTTTATCACCTGTTCACTCGGCAGCTGTTCTCTGCTGATCAAAAGCTGGTCTGCAGCTGTACACCTTCCCTCTGTACAGCTGCTTAGAAAGGACCAAGATCCCAGGATATTGTGATAAGGATATTTATGATAATAAAAGCTAGTTAATCAATGTTAACATTAAAAATAATGATCCATCGTTGCTCTTAGTTACAGACGCTACTTGGCTTATGTAGTGAAAGTGGCGACATTTTATTTCATACTATCCTTACAGGGATCTTAATAAATCCCTGAAATAAATCAACTACAAGGATTTATTTCAGGGATTAAGGGGGATTTCAGGGATTATCTCATGGATAGAGGCTGAAATAAATCCCCTATAGGGATTTATTTCAGGGATCCCTACATCCTTTCAGTGTACTGAACAGGTCCTGTATTGTGTATTTCACTCCAACAGTGTATCGTGCATCCCAGTAACGTACCATGTACTCCAGTAGTGTCCCATGTACTCCAGTAGTGTACCATGTACTCCAGTAGTGTACCATGTACTCCAGTAGTGTACCATGTACTCCAGTAGTGTACCATGTACTCCAGTAGTGTACCATGTACTCCAGTAGTGTACCATGTACTCTAGTAGTGTACCATGTACTCCAGTAGTGTACCATGTACTCCAGTAGTGTACCATGTACTCCAGTAGTGTACCATGTACTCCAGTAGTGTACCATGTACTCCAGTAGTGTACCATGTACTCCAGTAATGTACCATGTACTCCAGTAAAGTACCAAGCACTCCAGTAGAGTACTATTCACTCCAACAATGTCCCGTGTAACCGTGTTGTGTCCTGGGAAAGCTTTTACACATTTTCATTTTAGCCAAACCAGCTTTATTGATAATGTAGATGAAATCAAATTAAAAATCGCGAAATTAATATTGAACAGCATCACGCGGGCCGTCCTATTATTGTGATTAATCAACGTACTGATTAAATTAGTCAGTGGTTTCACCTGTTGGCAGGACTGAGTGGATAAGAGTGAAGGATGTTGGCTAGCTTGTGTGGATGGTGGATAGCACCGAATGATCCATCTGTGGCTGTGTGGATGGTGGAGAACTCTGATGGATTAACCCGTTGGCTCGTTTGGGATGATAGTCTATAGCAGTCATGAATCTACCCGTTGTCAGGCGTTGGTAGATGGTGAACAACACTGAGAGTTTCGCTAGTTAGCTGGCCTCGTTAGCGCCTGAGAAACGGTAAGAGATCCACCCGTTGGTGAATCATACGATCCACCCATCGTACGGACGTCGTACGATGCAAATAATGAATCTACTTTCCGATACAAAGCGACTTGATGTCTAATCTTCCGGCTTGCGTATGACTCTCGCACGGATGAGTCACTTCCATTATATATTTTCTTTAGTGGGTAAAGCATAAAAATATATACGTTTCTCTGACGTGAAAAGAAGGCATATTCAACGTGATCTCCGATATGTCACGTCCGTCGTAGCCACACGTGAATCAAGCCAGCGAGGACAGGTGAAATTGCTCGTCATAATGATTGGTCGATAGATGAAATATCAGCTAATCAACAAGGAGTTCGCGGACATAATGCGAGGGGGGGGCTCCCTCCCCCATGCCTCTCGGCCCAATAGGTTCTCCGGAACTCGCTTGACATGGGACAAGAGTAATGTCTGCATCCGTTAGGCTGGCTCTGTTGCCCCCAAGGGGAAAACGGTAATCAATCCCTCAATTGACCGGCCTCTGTTGCCGCAATTTACCGGAGAGCCGTGTTGAGCGTGACCAAAATGTCGTGCACCATTAGCTATGGTACATATGCCAATACTACCATGGTTGGGATATGAAGGGAACTGTGAGGGGGGAAAGCACCAAGCCATCACGCCTATATAGCACCGGGAAGGGGTCAGGATAAGGATTTGGGATGGGACGGAGGGAAGGAATGGTGCCCAATCACTTGGACGGTCGGGGATTGATCGCCAACCTGTATGAAGCGAGACCGTCGCTCTACCGTCCAGCCCAAGTGGTCGGACAAAGAGTGTTTGAGATTAACATGATACCAAATTATATGCTATAAAATAGCATGTAATATATGTAGTATATAGTAGCTATATACACGATACATATACTTGAAAATCTTGACAATCATATAATGCACTAGAATTGCGATACACGATTTTAGAAAGGTTGAAAATGCTATACAGCAAGGTTTCACCGGTAGCGATAAGACGAACAAACATCACATTAAATAAACTACGATATTCGCTGACCTAACGATGCCCACGACACACCAGGTAACCATAATACGATACTCATAATTTGCAGACGAGGAGTCACGATAACGTGGCTGAAATATGTTGGCCAGACCACACACTAGAAAGTGAAAGGACGACGATGTTTCGGTCCGTCCTGGACCATTCTCAAGTCGATCATAATGCTCACGATACATAATATCCACAATACACAAAGTACCTACGAAAGTCCCTGTAGTTGAGAAAGTCTGCCGCGTGAGACTGATTTCTCCATCTCTCTCTCATCACTATCTGAGAGAAGTCTCACGTATGCCTGAGAATCCTAAACTTGCAATTTTAAATGGGTATTTGATCCAAGTTTAACTTTCGGGGATTAATTTTAAATCGTGATTTGGCTCCACCCTCGTCCACTCTATATCTGTCTGCCCCCCCCCTCTCTCTCTCTCTCTCTCTCTCTCTCTCTCTCTCTCTCTCTCTCTCTCTCTCTCTCTCTCTCTCTCTCTCTCTCTCTCCACACTGTAGCCAGAATAAAAACAAACACGCTTCCCCTTGCGTATACCAGCTGGTCGGTCCCCCACAATATTCCGACCCACATCCCAAAAATGTAAATTGTTTCCATGAGGCATTCCGTCCCTCCATTTTTATTTTTGTCCCCACCTAGTATTCTTGTTCAAAGAAATCGGAGACCTGGCCACTCCAGGAGGAGAAGGAAGAGAAGAAGGTTGATGAGAGGAAGGATAAAGAGGAAGGAAGATTGGCAGGTAGTGGCAACGGATTTACCGAGTCGGAAGAATTTTTCAATTAGAATTCTCCTTTTCCTTCGCCAAAGACAGTCCTCTCATTCTTTTGTGTTGGTTATTTGAAGCAAACAACGAGCTTATTGGAGATTCATTGCTTCGTGTCTTCTGAACCCGCTCGATTACCTGAACGTGCCGAGACTAAACTATTGGTTTAAACGAAGGTTTGACTTGTCGAGCTGACTTGAATGACTAGCTCATATGTAGGTATATAATATAATATATATATGACAGTGTCAGACCACGGAGGAAGAATTGAAACAGGAATTTCCTTAAGTACTTTCGTATATTACGGTTTCAATTCTTCCTTCGTGGTCTGACACTGTCACATTTTTAATCACGTGTTAATCACCGACCGTTTTAATCGCGTGTTTTCGTGATTTACACACAATATAATATATATATATATATATATATATATATATATATATATATATATATATATATATATATATATATATATAATATATATATATTATCAATCACTCAACCGTGGATATAAACATATTATTCACCTGGGTACTACTAGGAGACTCTAATCCCCGACCCCACGAATGGGAGACAGAAGCTCTATCCACCATGATAATAAAGTGGATAGAGGACTATCCACTATATAAAGGAAACGAGTACAGATTGAATTAACTTTTATTTTCCATTTTTTTTAATTCTAGTAATTTTATGTTCTTCGTTTCGTCTCTGCTTCGCTTGACGAGGCGTTCTGACACTCATTTCATAAATGTTTCGAGTTTATGGTATTGTTTGCATGGTTTTACCACTAATTTCATTGTAATATTAGTACATGTTGTGCATACATGTACTGTACCCCCACGTATACACGCGTACACACACACACACACACAGGTGATACTAGGTGAGATACTACTTACTAAGTGAGTACACACACACACGCGCGGGACTTTAAAGCCGACGATTATCTCTGACAATGAATGATCACTGTAATTAAATTCAGTATCTGATCGAATTAGGAGTGTCCTGTTCTTGGACTAGGAGGCACAGGATCATGAGCCAAGGGATCAGAAGCCATGACGCCAACATGCCACCAAAGGAGGAAGAAGAGAATACAGTTTATTCATCTTCACATAAATAAACCCACAGAAAAGACAACACAACCGAAAGAATTTCCCGAGACATTACACAACCACTATTATGTCTCCATACAAGTGGGGGAACAGCAAACGGGAAGGGGGAGGAATAGCCACATCCCACCGACCTACAAATCAGTATCACTGGAAAGGAGTGTCACAAATATTGTAAAAAATGATGAGTTTCATATCTTTCCATCAGCAAGAGAAAGTTTTGCCTGGTAAATTTATTGCAGTTATAAAACTAGATGACAGCTATCAATTGCGAGAAATATGGATGTGCCAAAAATGCTTCTCGATCCCCGAGTTGATAATGAGCGCATATGAAACTTTTAGAGGTGTTTGAAAGAGTGCTTATAGCTGGAAGAGATATTAATGATAGGAATGAGAGGGGAGAGAGAGAGAGGAGAAGATAATAAAATGGAAAAGATGTAACAAATATAGTACCGTAAAGGTCATTAACAGGGACCCATTTTGTTAATACGGAAGAGAGAGAGACAGAGAGAGAGGGAGATAGAGACAGAGAGACAGAGAGA